TTCATACTTTGTTGGCATCTTATTCTGAAAACCGGATGTTCGTCTGAAGAAACCGGATGTTGTCTCACGTTAATCTTTCCGCTAACTTTCAAAGTCCTTCGCTCCCGATCTGTGCCGTTTGAATGCGTTTACCGTGAATGTCAGCATATAGGTGCACTAAAATTACTGACTATAGGATGTTTGCTGGCTTTTATCCCACTGTTCTTATCATCCTCTTGTTGTTATGTTATGTATTGTCTCTTGTCTTTCAATAAAAAAAAAAAATAATAAAATAAATAAATAAATTATAATAAATTTTAAAAATGCGTTAACGCGAAATTAACGCGTTAACTTGCCCAGCACTAATATATATATACTATGTATATATACATATACATGTATATATACATATAAACATGTATATGTATATACACACATGTATATATACATATACATGTATATGTATATATACATATACATGTCTATGTATATACACACATGTATATATACATATACATGTATATATACATATAAACATGTATATATACATATAAACATGTATATGTATATACACACATGTGTATATACATGTATACAGCTGATTCACTACCAGAGTGAACACAAAGCAACTAGTCAGCAGTTAGTAGAGCTGCAGTAGAGATGATGTCAGAAGAACAGAAGGAGAAACATCATGAAGGACTTGGACATCAACAGGTTTATATGAACAAATATGTTTTAGAGAAGCTGTTTGAAGGAATGAAGGAGGGAGGCTGAGTTCACACTTAAATATGAACTTAAAGTAAATTTAGCACATTGAAGCTCCCTCCATAGAACAGGTGTGTGTGTGTGTGTGTGTGTGCCCTCTGGATACAACAGGTGGTCAAGGAGGAGCGGAGAGCCAATCAGAGCAGAACAGAACCACACAAGCAGAAACCTGCTCCAACATTTAATTCCCATTGAACATCTTTTAAAGTACAGAAGGGAAACTAATAAATGCTGATTTAGCAAATATCCTGATCCAAAACAGGACTTTTGTGTTGTATTTCCAACGTTATCAGGGTCTTTATAAAAGGGATAATTGTATTTTTTGGATTCATAGTTTCTTCTAGATAATGTCTGACATGTTCTCTGACAAACATTGGAGGAACTGCAACCAGAGATCAACTGACTTCATAATTCACTAAACACTCAAATAAAAGAAAACAAAAAAAAAGTCTCATTGCTGGTGCATTCAGGGACAATCCAACATATACAGTTTAAGTTTAAAACAAACAGCCGTGAACCTACAAGCTTCTGGTTTTCTCTTTTACTAAAGTTATAAATGTTTTTCTTCATCAACCCCTTTTCTCTTAGTGAACATGTTAATGTACCATAGACACATCACTTGTTTCCTATAACCAATGTAATGTCTGCATGGAAGCATGGTGGAATTAGCAAGCTAGCTAGCTACCTAGCAAGCCGCTACACTTAATGCTTCATCCATAGACTCTTGTCACAGCGTAGGAAAGCACATTGCTATCGCTAATAACTATGTTCGGATCACTTCCTGGGACCAGTGTTGCGTGAAAGCACGGTAGAATTAGCAAGCTCACTAGAGTCCAGAATCAGTTTATCATCTCAAATGTTATAAGAATTGCAAAGTAATTAAAGTTACCAGATAAATGTAGTGAAGTAAAAAGTGCAACATTTTCCTCTGAGACGTAGTAGAGTAAAAGTAGAAAATATATAATATCTCAATATTGTACAAAAGGATTACTTGAGTTAATGTACTTCCACCACTGTCACAAAATGTGGGGAAATTGGGCATCTACACGGTAGTAAACTATTCCTGTGCAGGTACAGAAGATAAAGTATGGAAGTGAAGGGACATAAAGCAGGACATCATCTGCATACAGTGACATTTTCTATTTTGTTTCTTGATTTTAGGATCAAAAAGTACTAAAATCTTTGGCTCAGGAGCGTTGATCTTCATCTGGCTGTCCCCTGCACGAGGACTAATTCATGTTACATGCTACAAACCATAAAAACCAGCAGCTGAGTGGGAAAACAATGTTTTTATCAGCACTCCTAGTTGTAATTACACCTAAATAAAATGATAACTCTTATTCATTCAGACATTAAAAGATAACAAATATACTGCTTGTATTTTATTTCATTTATTAACTAACCACTAAAAATTGGTACCACAATAAATATAGAAAATGTCCAAGGGGGGAGGGGCGGTTAGCATCTTGGAATAATATTGGAATAACGGGATGTTTTTCTCATTCATTATTAACCACGTTCAGTAGAGTAGTAGCAGTAGGGTCACCTCACTATTACGGTTACTGTCTGCCTGAGGTCGCCTCCTTCCTGTTTACACAGATCTAATGTATCATCTTCATCATCCCTCTCTTCCTCCATCTTGTTTCTTATGCTGCGAACAAGGCGACTGAAGAATTGCATTTTAAAGTTTTATGGAAGAAGCAGACGTGAATTATTGATGGAGGACGGACTCAGTGAGGCGAAGCAGCAACGACTGGAGCTGGTTTACACTGTAGACTGATCAGGGCCGTCCTGTTTATTGTTATCACTATTAACTAGTATTAATAGTTTCTAAACTAAACAGAGTATTTTATGTACCACAGTGATGACGCATATGTGGAATGTTTATATATGCTGAAGCAAAATACTTCAGTTTAAACATAAATAGTCTAAGAATTGTAAAACTTGGATCGAATAATTACAAAAATACCACTGAATACCACTGTGTCTAATTCACAGCAGAAGTACTCATTCTGCTTCACAGCAAAAGTAAAAGTCTACTTCAAAAAAAATGAAGAAAGAATCCATTTATTCTATTCGAGTCTGTTCAAACAGGTGCAACCAGGGACGTCTTAACTTTTTAATTTAAATGTTAAATGTTTCAGCACAAGATCTTAAAGTTTATCACACATTGCATATTTTACTGCTAGAAGCCCGACATGATTTTAAGCTGCTGAATTTTGAGAAGAAACCTCCAAAACAAAATGAAGACAGACAGGTAGACAGAGAAGCAGACAGACAGACAGGTTTTCTTACTGATGTATAGAGGAATCCCTCTGCGTTCATGGCCACGTAGAGTCCAGCCTTCACTCCCTGCATGGCCACAACCCTCAAACCTACTGGGATCAGATTAAACAGAGCTACAGGGAGAGACACAGAGAGAGAGAGAGAGAGAGAGAGAGAGAGAGAGAGAGAGACACACAAAGAGAGACACAGAGAGACAGACAGACAGACAGTTGGTCACTGCAGAAGGTCAAATGTACCTTAATACAAAAATGAATTTGTTTCCTTCAAACTAATCAAATAAAAGTCTTATAAACTGAAGTGAATCCATCTTGTGCTTAAAATAAGTAAATATATCATTTCTGTGTGTAACTCGACAAAAATCAGCACTTTGGTTTAAAATCCATCTCCAGCCGGCTGCATGAGACGCTTCCAGCTGATAAACTGAGAGAATAAAAGAGAGAAAGACAGGGGGGAGATAGAGGGATGAAGTGATATGGGGGGGGGGGGGGGGAGATTTAATCCTCGGGGACAGAGAGCTGCAGTGTGGGTGAAGATGAAGAGGAGGAGGTGGAGGAGGAAGAGGCCTGTAGCGATGGCTGCTGTTAATCCTCCTTTATTTAACGCAGAGACAGAGAAAGAGAGAGAGGGAGAAAGAGAGAGAGAGAAAGAGGGAAATCCAAAACATCTCCTCCTCCTCCTCTTCTCCTTGTCCTCTTTTTTTGCTTCTCGTTTCCAAACCAAAGGATTTGAAAGATGCAGAATCTGTAATCCGGAGCTCATCCAGCGGCTCATATCTCACGTCTTCCATCACTGACACTGAAATGTGTCGGATCCTTCTTCTTCTACGATCTCACATTTAAATCATGTCTCTACGCTTTTATCAACATATATTAAATATAAGTTTAACTCTTTTAGTTTTAATTCTTAAAAGCTTTATGAATATTTACAATTTAATATATTTAATATATTATATTACATTTAATTATATATCATATTTAATATATAATTTGCACAAGAGAGAAACATGTAGAATAGAATATAAATAAATAAAATAACATTTTGGAAACAGACATTGTAGAGAAGCTGCTGCACTAAAAGGAGCGCCGACAAAAAAAGATGAATTTTATCAGCAACCTCTTCATCAAACACTGAGGTCACTGCTGATGAAGATGACAAGGACGATGATGGCAACAGGAAGTGTAAAAATAAAGAGCTTCTTCTTCCCTGTGTGAACTCTTCTTCTCTTCTTCGTCAACGTTACAGAAGCATTTCTAGAAACAGGGATTATTACCGGAGTCTGTTTCTGTAACTTGTCTCAGCGCCATTGTTTCTCTTGAGCCTCCAGGTGAGCTCATATGTAGGTAGGGCTATTTTAAGATCTACTCTGTTTTCACCTCCTCCCACTCGTGTAGTTTGTGGAGACTTTTAAAGCCGACATCAGATAAAATATATATGTGTGTTCGTGTTGTCAACACAGAGGCCATCAAGACGAGTTAGAAGCTTTGAATTAAAACTGTCTGTTTGAGACTCACTGTTGTCGCTGTTCTCGTCCTTGTTTCCACTGATGGCTCCATCAGGCTGCATCTGCAGGTAGAAGCCCTGCTCGCTGAAGAGGCGCGTCACGATGCCCTTCAGCTGCTCTGAAACACAACAACAACAACAACAACATCAACAACACACACTTAGAAACAAGACTGCAAACACTCACTCAGCAGGTCTGAGATCCGTGCTGCAGTCCTCATCTATCCACTCTGAACACATTTATTATTCATATCATCTCCTCTCGTTCACCGTTATCACACTTCATCTCCTCTCGTTCA